GTTTCAAAAACAGTCATTACACGGTTGGGACCTTAGGATTTTTAGGGGTTCCAGCTACTGTATGTCTAACAGTTCCTTCCTTCCTTGAAACAACAGCCACCTCTGCGGTGGTTTCGGCGGGTTTTTGTGGGATCGCTGGGAGATTTCTCTTCTTCCTGTAGGACTGTAGGACTGTAGGAACCCGGCCTCCCCTGTTGGAGACCTATTAGGCTTCTTCCGCCACAAACCATCTTCCAATCCAGGAAGTCTAATTCACCCTCCCTACCTACAAAGCTTAAGTGACTGTAAATAGGACCTACAGCAGTACCTATAGGATAGTAACTAGGTTCTTCAACTCAACCTCTGCTGGATACCCCCCTGCAACTGCAGCAGTAGAGACCTCTACTTCGACCACCACTGCCAAGACTCCACAGGGTGCTCCTCTAAGACCTGTGACTTCCTCTTCCTATCACCGTTGCTGTTCCCATCTGCCACATCAGCTTGCTTCCGCTGGCCAAGGCGCTTCCTGGGATAGAAGTGGTCCGACCACAACGAGACCAAAAACGACATATTGCCCTTTATATTCCACTCATGGCACCAAACGAGCAAAGGGCAAACCAAGAGTTTAGAGCATGATGTTCCCACATATATATATACATATATATATAGCTGAACCAGAAAAACACTAAAACTACACTAAAACTATAATACTCTACAAAAATCGTCCCCAGCTTCAGGCGATTCAACCAGGAACCCAGGACAAAAAGAACAAAAGAAAACCACGGTCCGAAAACCACGTCCGATTCACAAGGCTCAAATCTCGGTCCCTCAAAGGCCTCAACCTCTGCAGCATCTCTTCCACAAAGCCTCATCACATCGCCGCATATACGTTCCACGCGGAAGCGGCCCGAGGGTCTGACGGGGCAGCCAGGAAGTCACTTATGATATATACCCTAGAAGTCGAACCACCACCATTGTTTCACTAAGGGCTTTAACCAAGTCAACCATGTAAAAAAAAACACAATTTTTAAAATTGTCTTTGACTTCTAAGGTATAGCTTACCCCAACACACATCCAAGAACCACTGGGTTGTAGAGGCAAAACGGATGAGAACGGTGGGAAAACCCACCGGTCAATTCTCGGGTTCCCATGGGATCGTGACTGCGAGTAAGGGGGGGTTGCTGAGGAATGTTGCTGGATGTTGTCCAGGAACCGGGAGAAAATCCAGCAAGATGCAGCAAGCACATCCGGACACTTGGGGTGTCACACTATTGGACCCAGGTGTCAGAGGATAGGACCCCACTTTCACAGGATTGGCCACTTTCCGGGACAATGAAGCTCTGAGTGAAGCAAAAGCCAGGCAGTTTGGATGATCGACCGATCAGCGGAAGAGTGAAGAACGCAAAAACCGGGGTTGTAAGGCTCCTAGGGCTAGAAGCTATAGGCTTCCTGGCCCGCAATTGATTTGTATAATGTTTATTATTGGTGAACAATCCAACAACCTGTTTTTGACATTTGTTGACTAAGGATCTTAAGCTACAAAATCCTTCGCCACCGAACGCTTCAGGGGTCAATGTACACTCTTGACTGTTCCACATGGAAGCGGAAGCGGAACATGGGCCTCTCTTCCAGACCGCTTTCCTCTACCACGCAGGGTCCACCTCCATGGAACGCGAGTCCAAGTGTTAAATAAATCCCAGACACGACTAATGGGGCTGCCATATATGCCGCCCCATTGACCCCCAGTCAACCACCCCTGGCCCGATCGGTATATGGCAGTCCCATGGAGTGTCTGGGAATATGTTACACTCCGACGAACACACCACATGGAAGTGGACACCACCCTGTGTGGAGAATCGTCTTCTTAAAGGCCATCTTCCATGAGTGGGACTACCCAGTCCCACTGCCAGTCCCATTCTGCGTGGGACGGGGGGGTTCAATCCAAGAATCCTTTGGCTGTCTTCAGGTTCCCTGCCATCTTGCTCGCCAGCATGCGCTCCGCATGGCAGGAGAAACCCAGCTTCACCGCGGCCGTGTGGCGCGCAGCGATGAGCTCCTCCAAAACGGGGGTGTTGACCTGGCGGGGAAGGTTGACCACTCGAAAGTGCTGGTATGAGTAGCGCAGGATTATCTTTTTCCCTGTTTTTCAGCGCCAACTTTAGACAGCAAAACATTAGGACATATTAGGACCTGAAATTGTCTGAAATGTTCGCAAAAACACCGGAGTACTTACTCAATTCCGCCCCCCCAATGGGCCCAATTCCCACACTTGCTCCCCTCAGCCAGCACTCCACCCCTCCTCCACATCCATCCACATCCGGAAAGTCTGCCACCCCCCCCAACCCCACCGCCCAACCGGCCTCGATGCACTTCCGCTGGCTCGCCTCCATCATCCGCCGGCGCGTCGCGCTGCTCTTGCAGCGCTGCAAGATGGGCACCAAGGTGGGTGCCTTCAGGGCGCAGCGCTTCAAGCCAGCCTGCCCGGACAGCGCTCCGCGGCGCGCACGTCGTCAGTCTGCTTTGCTCGAGACGGTTGGCGGATCGAAGGTGCGAGCGGTGAAAAACACGTGGGGGCCGGTCTCACAAGTATCGAATGAGACCCCTGGGTTCCACTCATCGGTCGGAGGTTCCACTCATCGGTCGGAGGTTCCACTCATCGGTCGGAGGTTCCACTCATCGGGCGGAGGTTCCACTCATCGGTCGGATGTCTTCCTCAGCAATCGAGGAAGTGACGCGATCCGCTCTCGACCTCGGTGCTCGGCAAGCTCTCCACGAAGCTCTCGGCACAGCCCTCCAAATCCGCAGGCGTGAGGTCTACCGAGCTGCAGTCCTAGGTGTCCAAGAGAGGCTAAGTCGTGACCTTATACAGGACCCTACTGAGGCAGGATCACAGCGGCATGCTGTGGTGCGTCTGACATGAGTCGGAGCTATAGAACTCTTCAACCTCTGTTGGTGGGTGTTGAGGACGGCAAACAAGGGACCGGAGCTGGGAAATTCCCGGGGAAGGAGTGCCCCAAGAGGCAGTGGGACTTGACTGGGGCTGGACAGGTTGTTCGCCAAGGATAAACGCTTGGAGCTCAAATACGGTAGACTGCGACCTCAAAGTCAGCTTGGAACTTAAAGAGCTTTCACTTTAGAAGAGCCTGGTAGGAGAACTCTCGATGAAACACCTATCAGTACAGCAACACCCTAAAACCCAACAAAATGGTTCATGCTTCCGATCTCCTAAGAGATTCTCAAGGTCTTTAAGCTCCCAAGCCACCGCCCTTCCTCCTCGCGTCCTCTCCTCTCCCCAGCTCCTCAGAACCTTGTGCGGGGGCACCTCGTTGATGTTCTGCTCGGCCTGGAGGCACAGCTTGCCGCACTGCTGGTCCAACTCCTAAGGAGGACGGAAAGGAGAAGAGGAGGACCAACAAAGGTTAAGTGGCCATAATTAGGACCCGGAAGTACCCAACTGGGATATAGTCGAACAGTCGGGTTCTGACCCACCTCTGTTGGGACTTGGGCACTGTCACCTCTCACCAACTTAGTCCGGCTTAGCCCCTCGAATCATCTCTGGACATTTCTGCAACTGGCCCAACTGTCAAAAAGCAACTGTGACTGCTGGACCTACCACTAAAGGTTTTCAATGTCAAGAAATTGGTGTGAGCAAGTTTTGGATTTCAACCTCCACAACTCTTCAGCAGCATCAACCAAGGAACAGAACACCAATTCTATCTATACCCTTTCTTCGACTAAAAACGGTGCTTCACAACCGAACCGAGTCTTCTTCGCCTCCCAACTTCCACCTCCAACCCCCAGGCTCCTCCAACTCCTTGCGCTGCGCCTCAGGCAGATGCGCGCCGACGTGCCGAAGCTTCGCCAGGACCACCTCCACCAACCGCTGCTCCTCCGATCCCGCCGCGAGACCGGCGGCGGCCTCCAGGGCATGGTAGAGATCCTGTGTGCACGGCGTGGACGAATGCGGGTTGGACCAAGGGATGGATGCATTACATTGCATGTATGACATATATTCTTAGTCACCTTAATTTGCCAAAAAAAACAATTGTGCATTGCCTTGTGCCAATGACTGTCATGGCTATGTGTCAATGAGAAACCCCACCAGCGGATACCTAGGGGCATCTTCTCCAGGAGACTGAGGACAGCATGATGACAATGCAGTGCCGTGTGCTAAACCATTTGACGACGGCTCCCCTGAGAGGCCACAGCGAGAGCGGTGAAAGAGGTGTTCTGACATGTTCTTTGGCGACGCTCCATCCCCATGATCTTTTGCCGATCAGTGCTTGGAGTGTACCCCAGGGCATCCACCAGGCAAACCACGATGTCGCTGGTAACCAGTGGTTCCAAAGACTAAAACCACAGACCGAACGAATTCCTGGTTCCTTGTAGTGGCAACTGGCATCCACTGGGCACTACAAGCATAACAATGAGCTCTTTTCTTGCATTGTGAATGCATTGTGCACCAATGGACTTCTATTTCGGATACTCGTCATGAATTAGGAGCCCGAGCACCAAGGAGAGGGGGTGGCCATTGGACAGCTGGATTGATGCTGAATCGTCGTCAAGGCTCTGCTCGCGCATAGCTCTTGCTCCACATCTGCTGCAGCTGCGCTTTGGCATCTGCTGATGCGTCCCGAACGGCTTTCCTTAGGTACCGATACGGTATCAATGAATCTTTCAAAAATTGATGTGCATCTGAGGCTTGTCACTGAAAAGAACTTAGCCATATCATGGCAGGCTTGCGTGACGGGTTGTCCAAACCAAAATACACCAAATATTCCCCTCCATGCCAGGCGACAGCTTTAATATTGAAACAATCATATACAATATATCTGATTATACTGATTTGTTCACTCTCAATCCACCTTGATTCTCCCTTCCGTTTGCCCTTGGACCCACCGCCCAGCCTCCCCACCCCCCTCTGCCCTCCGGGTGGCTCGCCGCTCACCTGCGCCGGCAGCGTCAGCTCGGCGCTAAAAAGCGCGGCGAGGCCGTCGGCGTCCGCCAGGCGACCGAAGGTGGCCGCAAAGCTCCTTGGCGCACGCGGTGTCGCGCGGAAAAGGTGCCGAAAAGGAGGACGTGTTTTGGGAATGTGGGAGGGGGTGACTGGGAGATTCAAGCTGAAAAGTGGCCGAAGTTGCTGAATTTTTCTCCACCAACAACTGGTAGAACGTCTGGAGAAAGACTTGGGAGGTGAGCTACAATACCGTGACTCGGGGGCACTTTTAGCCACAGCTCAGTTGTGTTTAGAACCCCTGAGTAGTGGATGGTTGCCCTTCGGAATGAGGTGAATCGATGCCCCTTAACGGCCTATCCAGTTGGTATATGACAACAACTTCGTGATTTGCTGCCATTTTGTATATAGACTCCTTAAAACCGACTTTTGGCATCCATACATTGTTGTATAGACCATGACCCTGCCAACAAACATGTTGTGCGCAACCCCTTCCTGCCCTCTCGGAAAAGACCCGAAAAGACCCGTGCCTGGACAGACCTGCCCCTTGAACAGGTACATTGGTGGCAAAGTTGCATCAACTAACCAGGAGTGTCCCCACTCCAAATCGCTTGTCGCATCGGGTGCCCGAACCCCCCGGAACGCCTGGAACCCCCTTCCCTGGACAGGCCCCAGTCTCCGGTCATCGGCGTCCACGATGGCCTGCACCTCCGCCTCGTAGCGGCTGATCAAGCTCCGCAAGCTGCTGCGGATCTCTTCAGCCGACCTCGACGTCGGGCGGTGGAGCCGCGCGAGGCGAGCGAGCGGCTTCGGCATCGACTTGCCGATCCAAGGCTGGAAAGGTGTCCCTGGACCATGGTGACCATGGCCTCGTTCAAAACCAATCTGACCTGCATGGACCTGCGTAATAACCGGTCTTTTTATATCCTAGGACTCAAAGAAGCATTGTTTTAATGGTCTTTACCAAAGAACCATTGTTTTACTAAAAATTTTTGCACTACACCACCAGCTCAACCGTTCTTTTAATGGTCTTGGAAGGCTAGGGTATAGTGATATACATTATTGAAGCTTCCTCTTGACCATGCTTCTTATGGTCATCAATCTGTGTCGACCAGCTGCGCTCAGCTTTGCCTTTTGCCCTGATGTTGGCTCGTCAACAAAGGGAACGCTTTTTTAACAAACGAATTGAACCAACCCGAAGGAGATCAAATGAGCATACGTATGAGAGTCTACCCTGATGTAACTGATGTACTCCAGCAATTCTTATGGAACCAACAATATCAAATAATATCAGTTTCATGGTTGTTCCCTACATGGTCTTGGTCCAAGTACATGGTAGGCTGCTCGCTCCAGGGTTTGACCCCCCAAAAAAACTGATCGATCGATTCTTTTGTGCGACTCTTGTGGCAGAGACACAACA